CGAAGCCGCTTGGTGCCTCAGTGTCCCCATGTGTAAAGGGATCTAGACAATGTTCTCTGAGGGACAACATGAGGGTTCCACGAGTCCATCTGAGCACCAACAATGGCCCTACTGGGAATCCCGCAGGATTTGGGATGAACTCCCCAAGGAGAATGATATCTGTCAGGGACTTGCCACCAGCGTTGAACAGATAGGTGGAACTTACGCAGTCTTCACGATGACCCCATGAGGCAGTCTGCGGCCAGGGGTCCGTGAACTAGAGAGGCACTCAGAGTGGGGGGCGCCTGAGCGGGGCCCCAGGTCTCCACACATCCAATGCACCCTCTCTCCTCCTCTGGTTAGATGAGTAGCACAGGGTTTCGTGGAGAATTTGTTTGAGATGTATTGAAGCCCAATACCTGACAATGTGGACTTATTTGGAAATAGAGTCTTTGAAGATGTAATTAAGATGTTTAAGATGAGGTCATTAGGGTGGGCCTTATTTCAATATGACTGGTGTCCTTGTAAGAATAGAAGATGCACAGAGAGACACAGAAACACACAGACAGAAGAAGGCTGTGGGAAGACAGAGGCAGAGACTGGAGGGAGCTGATCATAAGCCAGGGACGCCTGGAGCCTCCAGAGGTTGGAAGAGTCAGGAAGGACCCTCCCCTGGAGCCCCAGAGGGAACGCAGCCCTGCAGAAACCTTGATCTTGGAGTTCCGGCCTCCAGAACGTGAGAGGATAAAATTATGTTGTCTCAATCCGCCCAGTTTTTGGTAATTTGTATGGCTGTCCCAGGAAACTAATTCAGGGGAATTCATGGGGAACCAGTCTCATCTCCTGTTTTATCTGTCCACTCATTCATCATCCATCTATCCTTCTGTCTATCTATGCACCCATCCATCCATCCCTCCATCCATCCACCCATCCACCCATCTATCCATCCATCCATCCATCTCTCCATCCATCCACCCATCCACCCATCTATCCATCCATCCAACCATTGATCCATCAGTCCATCCACCCAACCATCCATCCATCCATCCATTCATCCACCCACCCGTCTATCCATCAATCCATCCTTCAATCCATCCATCCATCCATCCATCCATCCATCCATCCATCCATCTACCATCCATCCACCCACCCATCTATCCATCCATCATCCAACAAACCGTCAGTGAGCTCATGCTGATTTATGCTGGCCCCTCACGTACAAGGTCACAGCTCATGCAGGCACCCAGCCCATTTGTTTCCTGTGGCTGTGCCTGAGGGGTTATCTCTGATCCTATCTCACCACGTGCCTGCTGGCATCCCACCGCTGGCGCACATGCATGTTTCACGTAAAAACCTGGAGACCGGCGCCTCCGGCGGCAGGGTACTCGCAGGAGAAGATGCGAGTGGCAGATGGGCAACGCCTGCGGCAGGGAGTGGCCAGGCAGCTGGGAGCTGCATCACCTAATCCACCCACTTCCTCTGTTCCCTTTATAGCACAGGATATTACAAAGAGTCTTCCTACTGGTCCTGGTTTGTCAGAAAAATGCCACTTGTTGGAGCCCATGTTTGGTTCTTGGGCAGATAATCCCACGGGACTGGGATGACACACGCTCAAGCCGGGGCCCTTTCTGTGGACTGGTGGGGATTAAATCCTGACCCATTTGCCCTGGGACGTGGCCTGCCAGAGGGATATTTGTTTATCCTATACACATGATCTCTGTGCCTATCACAGGGTCTTTTTAACTTTAATTATTATCTTATAGGAACAGGAGCGCACAGATAAGATTGAGACAAGGGAGAAAGTGGCCCAGGATGCCCTGACCCAGCCTGGTTCTCTCCCTGAGACCCGGGAGATGGGACCTGGCCCTGCTTCTCCCCCCAGCCCTCTGGCTGCACTGTCCCCTGACCCTTCTTGTGTTTTTCCGGGTCGTCCTGAATTGGGGGCAGTTCTGCCCCCCAAAGGACACCTGATAATATCTGGGGACAGTTTGGGGGTGTCATACTTTGTGGGGCTGCTACTGACATCTGGTGGGTAGAAACCAGGGATCCTGTTTAATACTCTACAGTGTGTAGGACTCCCCGAGAATTATCCTGTCTAAAATGCCAGTAGTATGAGTTGAGAGCCTTCTATCTATCTATCTATCTGTCTATCTATCCATCTATTATCTACCAATCAATTAATCAAACTACCATCTGTTTATCTATCATCTATCTATATTTTTCTATTATGTATGTATCTATATTTATCTGTCTATATCTATAATTTATTATCTATCTATCCATCTGTCATTCTATCATCTATGTATCTATCAATTATTTTCTATGTATTTATCTATGAATCAAAAATCTCCTACTTGTCTATCTACCCATCTATCAGCTGTCAGTCTGTCTACCATCTATCTGTCAATCAATTATTTATTATCTACCTAATTTATTTATAATCTATTCGTCTATCTACCTAACATCTACTCATCTGTCTATCCATCAGTCATGTCAATTGATGTATCATCTATCTGTCTATCGATCATCTAATTTATCTGTCTATTTACCTGTCATTTATCTGTCATCTATTCATCTATCAGTGGTGAGTGACCAGGGGTGACTTTGCCCTCCCACCCGGGGACATATGACAATGTCTGGGGACATTTCTGGTTGGGGGAGAGGGAGCTCCTGGCACCTGATGGGTGGAGACCGGGGAGGTTGTTCCACATCCCACACTGCACAACAGGACCACCCAGCCCGAGGGTCACTCGTGCCACATCACAGAAGATGGGTCCTGACCCTGTATATGTGACCCTTGATTCTTCCCCAAGACCCCCTCGCCTCTCTCTTCCTGCACCCCCTCCTTCTGTCAGGGGTCCCATGCTCATGCTGCCCCCCCATAAACAATGCCCAGCCACCCCCATGACTACTCAAGGCCCAGGGTCCACACTCTCAGCCCCCTGCCCATTCATGAGCCTCCCTGGGGGTCAGGCCAGCACCACCTGCAACACACACAGCCCGGCCCGCCCCTCTGCCCTGCCTGGTCCACACCACCCTCTCCCCAGCCATGCGCCACCTCGGTCCCTACCTCCTGTCTGGCCCCGTCATCGGTCAGTGAAGCACAGATTCCACCCCTAAGTTGTTTTCCGTTCAGGACACCGTTGACCCCATTGACACCCCTGTTCCGGCACAATGGCCCTGCCCAGAGCTCTTTCCAAAGAACAGTCCAGCATCGTCAGCCGTGTCGGAAGCTTCCACAGCTTTTCTGGGCCAGCCGCTAAAGTCTCACCATCCTCCAGGGACCATTCTGTCCAATGCACCCCAAGCCTCCCTCCACCCAGAACATACCCCCCATTCCCCCCCACCCCGCTCCCATTCATGACACCCTTTGTGCCACAGCCCTGCTCTCCCAGCTGTCCCGCTCAGCCCCGGCAAATGCCACCTCTTCCAGGAAGGCCTCCTGGATTCCTTCCCGCCCTGAACCCTCGTGGCCTGCATCTCCCTGTGTGGTCTTTCTATTCCCCGGAAGTGCTCAGCACCACGACGGGCACAGGGTGCCTTGTCCACTGCCTGCATCAACTGTCCAGGCCAGCGGCTGGACACTGAGTTAGGTAAAAGGGCCCTGGAGGGCAAAAGTCGGTCCAAGTTTCCCATTCGGCCCCTCAGAGGCGCCGTGTGCTTGGCCGAGTTCCAGCCTCAGTTTCCCCCCCTGGGATGTGGGGATGATGACGGCAAGGTTAGGGTTGGAGGAGACGGTCCACGGGCAGCGTGTGCATTGGGGTCGATGCACACACAGTTCTGGTTCACAGCACCCGTCCACCGACGCCCTTGCTCTGGCATGTTGCCCTCCTTTTGCCAAGGAGCCTGGGACGGAGAGAGCCAGCTTCTGCCCCTCAGGCCTGGCCATCTTCCCCCCAGCAGGAAAACTTGCACAGAATGGCAGGCGTTGCTCCCTCACCCAGGCGCCCACACTGATGTGGCCCCCAGGTCCCAGCATGGACACAGCCCCCCAAGGTCCCGGCACAGACAAGGCCTCCTGAGGTCACAGCAGATACACAGTCTTCCGAGGGCCCAGGACAGATGTGGCCCCCCAAGGTCCTGGCACAGACGTGGCCTCCAGAGGTCACAGCAAGTACATACCCTCCCCCAGGTCCTGGCAGGAACATGGCCACCTGAGTTCCCTGCATGGCTCAAAAGCAAACCCAGTCACCAGCTGCCTTTCAAAGCATGGCTTTCCCTAGAATAAGGCAGACCCTGCATCCATGGGTCTGTCTGTCCAGCCAGGAGGGTGTGGACACGGCTGCAGAATTTTCCCTGGGGGTTCCCAGTGCTGATGCCAGGGGACGCACTGGGGGAGCCCACCCTGCAGCCCCTCTGTGTGCTCATTCGCCAGGTCATGCCTCCCCGCGGTGCGGTGTTGGCCCGGGGGTGGGGGTGGGGGGGGTCTGTGGCCGGCGCCGGGGGCCTGGACAGCTGCCAGCGGTCAGGGAGCAGGGCGAGGTGCCAGGGGAGCATGGGGCTCCCCGTATCCCGCACGCCCAGCCCCTTGCCTCCGGGCCAGAACAGGGGTGTGGGCGGCAGGCCCCCGCTTCTGCCGGCTGGTGGCCACACCTACGGACGGCGCGCAGACAGAGGCACAGGGCTGGGTGAGAAGCCGCACCCTGGGGACCGCCATCCTGTCGCTAACCCGTCACTACCCACACCCCCTGCCCTGTCCCTAAGGTGACAGCACAGGCCTCCGTAGGGTTGGCCGGGGGTCTCAGGTGGCCTGTCGAGGGTGGTCCTGACCCTGCGCCCTCCTCGGTCTTTGTGGCTGAGCGGGGATATTTCAGAAACTACAGCCCAGGTCTGGAGGGTCCTCCTGACTCTTCCCACGGCCTGCTTCCTCCTGGAGGGGGAGGGGGTCGCTGGGACTCGGGGTTGAAGGCCCCTCCCTCCACCAACGCTGGCCTTGGCAACGCCCCAGCAAATGAAAACACCATTCTCGCGCCGTGGAAGCATCTTGAACGGAGAATACGCGCGCACGTCCGGCCCAGCTGGCCCCTTCAAATCCAGCCGCTCAAGGGGCTTCCTACGCGGCCATGCGGGGGCGGCCCTCCGGGTCTTGGTTCCTCCTGGTTCCTGCCCAGGGCCCCGCTTCTGACCGCACACGCTGAGCGCACGTGACACCATGACAGACGGCAAAAAAAAAACCCACCTCGCTTTGGAAGCGGAACCACACGCTCCGTAATTCCTCTCGGCCGGGCGTGATTCGAAGGGCGCAGACGGCTGGTGTGCACGGCCGCGAATCCCCGGGGCCGCCGCCAGCCCGCGCGTGCGGCGGCCCTGCTTCCCAGGCTCGTCTGGGACGGTTTGTAAAATGCACCTAGAACTCGGGTTTCTGGGTGAGCCGGGACCTGAGAGCTGATCTGAGGTCTCACGGGGGGCCCCCAGCGGCCGGAACCGTTCCAGGCTCAGCCTCCCGTCCTCCCTCGTGCCTGGCCGCCTTCAGCGCTCACCTGTACGCAGGTGCGGTTTCCTGAAGGAGTTTGCACAGGAGAGCGTGTCCCGAGCGTCTCCCCGCCAAGTGGCCGTGCGTGTCTTTCTACAGGTTTTCCTGTTCTGTCTGCACCGCGGAGACGAGAACGCACGCAGCCCGCCTCCCAGGCTCTCACCCCGTAAGACCCCCCCCCCCCCCCCCGACCCCCCCTGTTCCAGACAACGCACGTCAATAAAGAGCGGGCATTGAACGCACCTGGAACGGCCGGGGCTGCTGTAGCGGTGTGCGTCTGCAGTGTAGACGCCGCCGGGACTGGATCGGAAGACGCAGCAGCTGTGCCTCAGGGCCTGGTGTCAGGAAGCGGCGTCCCGCTGCCCACGAAGGAGCCGGGGTGGGTGTCGGGGCGCAGCCCCAGTGCCAGCATCCCCGCCGTCTCTCGGGCTAGGTGCCCGGGGGGCATGACGCGCCGGCTGCACCCTCGCCGGCTGCAAATCCTCCAAGGTCCCCCTGCCGGGCTCCGGAGGCTGCTGTGGAGACCCAGGGCAGGTGGAGAGGAAACCCGTTTTGAAATTTCCTGTGTAACGTCTGTTTGTCTGCTCGCTCCCGTAGTCCAAACCCGCCGGTCCCCGTCCTATCAGCGCGCGCCCTGCCGGGGGCGGGGTGCCGGCCCCCAGAGCCGCGACCTCAGGGCTCGTCCTGTCCCGAGGCGGCTGCGGGGAGACCCTGCCTCTCCGAAAGGGTTTGCTGCCTGCAGACCGGGCCGGGAGGGAGGACCCAGTCCGATGGTGTAGCTGGCGGTGACCTGAAGTGGATTCCCAGACGGAACAAATAAATGCCTGGGATTTTAATATTTTTTTAAGTTTTAAAAATATGCTAAGCGAACTGACTTCCTCTTGCAGGCGAAAGCTGGGTGCCTGGCGACCTCTTTTGGTCTTGCAGCCAGAAGGTGACCCGCCCGGTGACCCATGCCCGGACACTGCCCTGGGGGGGCCGGGGGGGCGTGCCCCTGGCACATGTTCCCCATCCACCCACCCACCCCCGATGGAGCGGGGTTCACGCCTCCCGGGCCGCGTCCTCTAGGGCAGAGAGGGAGCTGGGTGGCCGGCGGGGCGCACGTGCGCAGGTGACGATGATGACTTCACAGCCAGGCGCGCTGTCATCGGAAAGAGGCAGCTGCTCGAAAGCCCACCCCCACCCCCCACCCCCGAACCAAGGTCCAGCCCTGGCGCCCCGGGGTCACTTGGAAGGGGGAAGGAGGGTGGTGATTCTCAGAGGTTGTGTGCCGGGAAGTCATGGGGATGGTGAATCCGCGAATATGGAAACGCTGTTCCTGGGGAAGTCCAGGGTCATCTGTTTACAGAGTACGGAGGATGTATGTACCCCTAGGCATCTATTGTCTGTCGATCAATCATCTATTTACATCCTATACCTGTATCTATGTTTATCTGTCATTTAATTATATTTTTCTATCATGTATCTATCGTCTATATCTATATATTGATCTATTATCTACCCATCAATTATCTACTTATTTATCTTCCAGCTCTATATCTATCATCTATTATCTATCTATAGCTATCCATCAATACGCCTGCCTGATGACATATATCCATCCGTCCATCAATCTTTCTACCTCTATATTTATCTATTATCTACCTATCAGTGATCTTTAGAATCAGATATTATCTACCTGTCATCTGTCTTCTCTCTGTCTTTGATATCTATTATCTATCTATCCATCCATCATATCTATTATCTATGTTTCTATTTGTCATCCATCTATATCTATTTATGTACCATCTACCTATTATCTCACATGTATGTATCAGTCACTTATCTATCAATCATTTATTTATCTATCTGCCTGCCCATGCACACACGTAACCTTCCACCCAGTCTTCTATCTATCTACCCACCCATCCATCAGTCTGCCTACCTCCCCATCCATCCATTCATGCATGCATGCATGCATCCATCCATCCTTGCACCTATCACCGCTTATTATCTATCTATCCATCTATCCATCCGTCTGCTTACCTATCCATCCATCCTTGTATCTATCACCACTTATTAACTATCCATCTATCTACCTACCTACCTATCTATCTATCCATCCATCATCTCACTGTGTATCTATCATCTATCTGTATCTACCATCTATCAGTCCATCCATCGATTTATACGTATCATCCTTCTATAGACTGTAGTCCTCCCATGTTGCAAGTTCACAGCTAATGGTGGTGGGTCGGCCCCTCAGAGAGGATGTGGCCCTGGGCTGCTACGGTTCTGGGCACCACCAGGGAAGTCCCTGTTTCTTTTTAAATGGCCCAAATGTAAAACGGAAGAAAAGAAAGGACAATGGTGCACATGTGCTGGGCATAAGTGTCAGGGGAGAATTTAAAAGGTCAGTAAATTGTGGGTAATGATTGGAACTGGGTGAAGGTATATGGGCTTCCGTGCGCTATTCTCTGGTTTGTGTTTGAAAGCGTCTGTGTTAGCTCAGCTCAGCTGCCATAACAAACACCACAGACGGGGTGGCTTAAACGTTAGACATTTATGTCTCCCAGTCCTGGAGGCTGGAATCTGAGATCCAGGCATGGGCAGGGCTGGTTCCTCCTGAGGCCTCTCTCCTGGGCGTGTAGACAGCTGTCTCTTCCCTGTGTCCTCACGTGGTCGTCCCTCTGTGTGTGTCTGTGTCCTGATCTCCTCTTCTTATAAGGACACCAGTCCTATGGGATCAGGCCCAACCTAATGACCTCATCTTAACTTGATCACCTCCATAAAGACCCTGTGTCTGGAGTTCCCTGGTGGCGCCGTGGTTAAGAATCCGCCTGCCAATGCAGGGGACACGGGTTTGAGTCCTGGTCCGGGAAGATCCCACATGTCGCGGAGCAACTAAGCCCATGCGCCACAACTACTGAGCTTGTGCTCTAGAGCCTGCGAGCTACAACTGCTGAGTCTGTGTGCCACAACTACTGAACCCCACATGCCTAGAGCTCGTGCTCCACAACAAGAGAAGCCCCCACTCGCTGCATCTAGACGAAGCCCACACACAGCAATGAAGACCCAACACAGCCAAAAATAAATAAATAAAATAAACAAATTTATATTAAAAAAAAAGAATTTGAGGAGGGGGACACAATTCTGCCCATCACCCCTGATATCTAAAGGTTCCACCTGGTGAGTCTGCACATGATTTCCATTTTCAAAACCATCCTTTCTCATCAAGGCTGAGGAATCCAAAGTAACTTTTGGGAGGTTGGGCTGGGGAGGACAAAGTTCAACCTCTAAGGGGGCTGACTCACCGGAAGGCAGATTCGAGAGGAACTGTTCCCTGGTGTCCACGGCTGATTTCAGGAAACCGTTGCAAGGTTCCTGCGGAGGTGGTTAGGTTGGAGGGGCCATGATGGAGTTCCTTATGGGAAATGGGCACCATGCATGGGAAAGGGGGCAGGTGGATTGGGCCGCAGGGCTCAGGTGTGCCCAGGTGTGGCTGTGAGGTTGAGAGGTCCTATGAAGTAGTGTGGAGAAAGAACCACCTGGTCCAGGAGATGGTGGATGGGATCGTTATCTACAGGATGCTGCCCCGGCCATACAGAGGATGCTGAGTGATTAACTTCACCATCCTAAGGTCAATTGTCTCATCTCTAAACAGACCAGGTGGAGTTTACCTGAATCTGCTGTCCCATCAGCTCCAAAGTATGCAGGTCTAAGGCAGACCCATGCCAAGAAAGAAGTTTTTAAAATGATGCAGCCGATACCTCAGAATCCTGATGGGCTGAAGAATGGGCTGAAGGCGTCAGAGACCCTGCCCTGGAGTGTAGACCTGTGGTGAACACACATTGGAATATTTTGTCTGAGGCGGGGAAGCAGGTACATATTTAAGCTTTGAGCCCCACGTGGTGTCTGCTGAGATCGCTGGACTCTGCCATTGTAATGAACAATGTGGTGCTGACACCACAACAGTGTGCTGGACCCAGCACTGTTCCAATAAAACTTTATTTACAAAAGCAAGTTGAGGGCCAGATCAGGCCTGAGGGCTGAGTTTTGGAGCCCTGTTCTGTGGCCCCTGTGGTGGAACGGCGAAGTCCCCTGTGCAGAGGCCACACGCGGGGGTTTAACATAGGGCCATTCGTGAACCCCATGTGTTGGTGGGACGTGGTCTGTGTGTGCCTGGTGGGGAAAATGGACTCATCTTCCTGAGGATCTGCTGACTGTTTTCCCCAGTGGCTGCTCCATTTTGCCTTCCCACCCACTGTACATGAGTGTTCCGATTTCTCCACATCCTCAGCTTGCTTCTTGGTTTGCCTCTAACACAGACGGACCCCAGGACTGGCCGCAGTGTAGACAAGGCACCGGCTCTGGGAGGTTCAGAGGCTCCATGGCAAATGGCCCCTGGTGCCCCTTAATTCCCAAAAGGCATTAGGAGGGTGACAAACAGCCCCATTGGAGCCACCTGCATGCCTGACGCTGGACCCACCCTGGTTGATCTTCATCTTCTAGGGTTTTCATCTGAGAGATGTGCCCCATCCTGTCCCCAGCGAACAAAAGTGGGGTCCACTCGCCTGCGTGCAGTAAAGCCAATCTACTGACACTGGGTTGTGGTGAAGGAATGTACAGCGTTTATTGCAGGCACCAAGCAAGGAGTCCAGGCAGCTGGTGCTCAAAAGACCCAAACTCCCTGATGGCTTTCAGGGAAAGGGTTTTAAAGACAGTGAGGGAGTGGAGTTGTGGGCTGTGTGATCAGCTGGTGGACATTCTTCTGGGTGGTTGGTGGCGAGGTCATCGGGAGTCCACATCATCAACGTTATGGTCCCAGCTGGTCTGGCGTCTCCATGCTGGTGGGCAGCATATGAAGGCAACTTCTCCCACCTGGTGGAGGTTTCAGTATCTACAAAACAGCTCACAGGACACGGCTCAGAATATGATCTACAGCCCTTGGGGATGAACTAAAGGTCCTTGACTTTGTTTTATGGCTCAACTATTATTATTTTGTCTTGCTTGACTGATTTCCTTTCTTCCTACATTTTCTCACTTCTCTGATTAAATGTATTCTTTGGAACTCGGAAGGCCTCGGAGGCTAAAGCTTTTCTACAAATGAGAAGGCATGTGGAGGACATTGCAGGGTGGTGGTGGTGGGGATCTGTTCCCCTACAGGGTCCTGTTCGGTTAGAGTGGGGAGAGAGAAGTCCATTCTCCACGTGGTGTGAGATTATTTAGTTGCTGAAAAACACTTTAGGATGACAGGATGGCAATGTGGCAGCCACCCAAGCCCCACAAACCCCCAAACCCCAAGACCCATCCTCTTGGGGTCTTTCCAGCAGGTGGAGGGTCTGTGCTCCATCCTGGCTTGCTGGGACAGCGGTCCTGTCTCCAGCAAACAAACATGGAGTGCAGGAAGAGAAGGGTGATCTGTCACTGGAGAGGGTCAGACCCCCCAGGGTAGACGCTGATGCCATCTGGGTTGAGCGAGTGCCCTGAGCATGTGTTGGGGGAAATCCAGTTGCCCACACTTCCTCATCCAAACCACAGAGATCAGACCCACATGTCGGGTCACAGCCCCAAGCCTGCACTTTTGTTCCCACCCCCACTTTCAGAGCAAAGCCGACCCCAAGAAGCAATGAAGCGAGGCTCCGGTTCTACAGAAACCGTGATTGGCTTCTCAGGAAGGTGGGTCCCTGCCCCACGGCCTCCTGGTCTCTGTGCAGCCCTGGGTGGACCGAATGGTGCTGAGAATCTGATGAATGCACAGGAAAAGGAAGGGACACACCCTCCAGCTCACACCACAACGTCGATCAGGTCCTCACCTTCCGGGCCGGTTGTTTCCCTCCAGAGCCTGGTACTGACA